TATTAACAAAAGATGGACATCGAAAATATATTGTGAAAATGTTTGTAAAAGTTATTGTCACTAGAAAGTTCTAGTAGTTTGGTTTTGTAATGCATGGAAGGGTAACTTTCTTCACTGCGATGTAGGGGACATTGCCCACGAGCCCAAAATACTCATCTCATAGGAGAATGTGGAGTGGAGTGACAATGGCTTATTATGTACTCATAGCAATCTGTATGTTTCCTCTGGCTATGGGTGGATTTTGGGCTTATGGAAACAAGGTGAGACCCCATTCTGTTTTGTTTTCAACTTCTAAAGACATCTCAAATTGTCACTTAGTATCACGGTCTATTGATATTCTTTTTCATCTGTAAGTGAGAGGTCTTAGGTTCAATTCTCGCCAAATTCGAATTTGAACCACATTATTGCTAGCCCATTGTGAGGTTAAATATTGTTACAAACTCTATGTAGGATGGGCAAAATAACCATGGGTTTGGGTAACCGCAGTTACCCATCCATTTAAAGTTCACGGTTATGGTTATGGGTAACCGTTTAGACGAACAAACGGTTATGGGTATAACCGTTTATCTGTGAAATTTAAATGGGTGGTTATGGGTATTACCCGCGGTTATAACGGGTATCCATCGGTTCTGGGTATTACTCACGGTTATAACGGGTATTCATTTACCCATTTAATTTAATATATGTAAAATTTAAAAAAAGAAATTAAAAACCCTAAATTTTCAATCTCTCCACTAAACTTAGAGTCTCAAACGCCCCATACCCCACTCATCTCTCCCCCCTCGCTAATTGGTGTCGGTGTTCCTAAATGGGATACTAATTCAATTTATACATTTCTTTTGTAGGCCTCTTTTGGTGACAACGAGTCTATGAGACTTTGTAATTGAACGTGTTTAGTTTTAGAATATTTTGGAGCTTTGAATCATCTAGTATCCAAGATAATGACTACTTTTTGTTTTTAGCTTTACATTGTAATCATATGAATTATAATTAAAGACTTGCTTGGGTGTAGCAAAAAAATATCATTCGTAAACTATTATTTCAATTATTGGAATTGTATGAAGACTTAAATGATAAAAATAGGGAAATGCATGCTAAAATGTACTTATAACGGTGTTTAATTGTCAGCAAACAAAAATTATGACAAATTTTTCTTTTGTAAGTTTCAAGTTGTAAAAAAAAAAACATGTAGACAGGTGAAAAAAGGGATAAATGGGTAAAAAAAAGGATAAACGGGTAAATAGTTATGGTTAAATGGGTAAACGGTTATGGTTAAATGGGTACACGGTTATAGGTATGATTAACCGTTTATAAACAGTTATGGGTATGGGTATAACCGCTTATGCAATTACCCAACGAGTAAACAGTTATGCTGGAATGAACATAAACGATTATGGATAAATAACCGCAGTTACTCATCTGTCATAACTGTTCCCCATTCCTAGTTTGATGGCTGACCATGGTGTATAGGCCACTTCTCTTTCTGCATATCATCAATAGAATAGTGTTTTGCTCTTTACAGTTAAAAGAAAATCATAAACTGACACCTATGCTAAGGAACGATAAAGTTTTTTACTGTTACAATGTCACAATCATGCATGTGTTGTTAACAATCCATATGTTATAATATAGTTGGATAATATGATTCATATATCATGGACCTAGAGTATATTATTGAGTGAATTAGTAATATAATGTTACAATGTGATGATCATCCAAAGTTTCTTGTAAGTGGCTTACGGAAAATACGTAAAGTTATACACACTTGTCAAGGTGTGATTAATTTGTCAATAAAAGAGAAATAAAAGAGAAACGTAATTACATGCTCCTATCTATAATTCTTGTTATACCTAAATACGATAACCTGAAACCACTTTTACCGTCTTGGATTTCAGTCAAATTTAAAAAAAAAAAACTAAGATTCACATTGATTGGAGGGTTGACCCATGTTCAGCTTGGAAAACGGTTTTGTAATACTTATGCTTTGATTAGCTAAATCAAGATTAACAAAATTAAATTTCTGAAAAGTTGACTTCCCAACCCAAACACCGACCAAACACATCCATGTGATTATGTTAAGAGTACCATTAATCCCTGTTAATCTCCTAATCTCAAAAACCATGCACAAAACTCTTGATAACTGCAGAATTTTGCACACCGTCCACACCGACCCTTATGAGTTTCTCCTCTCCAATGCAAATGGTACGTTTCTTTTTCGTTTTTTTAATCAATTAAAGAGTCTTGGTACATTTCATAGTTGCTAACAAAACTCGTAGCATTTCTCTATAAATACCAACACCGATCTGCTATGAAACCACCAGTGAAAAATCAGAGTTAATTAATCGCCATTTCCGACATTAGATAAAGCTCAAACCTTTCTTTTCGATTCGATTACACTTTGGTTTTGCTAGCATGGAAGATCAGTACCCGAAAGAGAGTCAGACACATGCCAAGGGAGCAGAAGAAGAAGCTCAGGGTTGTGGGATGTTTGATTTCTTGAAAAAGAAGGACAATCAGAAACCCCACCAGGAACAGGAGCAGCACAAGCACACTACTCTAGCTGAAAAGCTCCACCACCATGACGGCGACTCTAGCTCGGTGAGTCTCGTTGATTTGGTTATCATAAAATTAAACTCTCAACACAATTTGTATCAATGACTCAACAAGTGTATGATGCACCATACAAACATTGATTTGTTTTCTCCTCTTACACTTCTCCCCTTGTTCCTGTTTGTTGATTCTTCTTTGATTTATTCAATGAAAAGGTTTGGGAAAAAATTGCATGCAAAAATCACTTCTTTTTTAACTTCAAATGCAGAACATGCGTGCTTAGTCCCTTTTCTTTCTTTCAAGAATCGGATTTTCAATCTTTACTGATAAAATATTTGTTGCTTGTTTTTCCAGTCTAGCAGTGACGAAGAAGGTGGAGAGAAGAAAAAGAAGGGACTTAAGGGTAAGATCAAGGATAAGATATCAAGTAACAAGGAAGGGGGAGATGCTTGCCACGCATCCGTTCCAGCGACGAATGGACACGCTGATGAGAAGGGATTTGTAGAGAAAACCAAAGACAAGCTTCCGGGACAGCACAAGGAGGCCGAACATGTTGCTGAGGAGAAGGGATTTGTCGAGAAAATCAAGAAAAGCTTCCGGGAGAGAACAAGAAGGCTGAACATCATGCTCCTGCGGAGTATCATGCTCCGGATGGGCATTCCCACGACAGCGAGGCAAAGAAAGGGATCTTGGAGAAGATTAAGGACAAGTTCCCTGGGAGTCACAAGACCGAAGAGGAGAAGCACAAGGAGAATTAGCATGCACGATGCAGCCAATAAAAGATGTTGTGGTTTTGATGTTTGCTTGTAGCCTATGTGTTTTGTTTTAGGGTTTTTCTGTACTTGTACAACTGTTTGCTTGTAATGCGTTTTATATTTATGGTCCCTTCATCCTTTGTATTGTGGAAGTGCTTCATGTGCTTTTAGCATTCAGTTAAATTTCTATCTGCAAGTCTTCTCTTTCCTATATATTACCTTCTCTCTCGTTTTTCCTTAAAAATTCTTTATTTAAGCTCTTAAGCAAGGACATTCTATTTTCGGGATGTAATCCAAAACCATTCAGCTTTTAAGTTCCTTCTAAAGAATCATTCATACAAAAAATTAGCCAACTAAATAACTGTTGAGCGATTTGAAATTCGCATCCTTAATGCCTTTGAAATGACCAAGATTAGCCAACTAAATAACCGTTGAGCAATTTGATATTTGGATCTTCGTTTTATCAAACGATCACATTTTAGATGATTGTTGACCCTAGAAACTACAAAGCCTACGTGGCGCGTAGGTCGAGTAATCTATAAGCTAACTACGTCCTTCGTTGATTGCGGGGCGTGCCAACTCGTCGGCCGAGCTCGGCCGAGGAGTAAATTTGTTGATGTTGCGTCGGGTGCGCGGCTAACTTCTGCGTCTTGCGATTGCGGCCGAGAAAGGAACACGTCTCGGCCTCTTGGATTCTCGAGCCTGAAGACAAGGCTACTATTCTTACGAAGTTCACGAATCGAATTCGGCTTTCAATGTGCCAAATGTAATAATTGTAACACCTCACTTTGCCGAGAAGGCTGATGAGATGACCTCGACCAATAAGGATTCAGAAATCCTTCTCGACCGAGACTTGGATAGGTAATCAACCGTCCTCGCCATAGTGCTGTTGATGCCAACGGAAGATGCTGCAAGACCGGCTGATTCTACGGTGACAGAGCTATCTATGCCGACTTAAGATATCACCGGTTGCTTTCACAGTGCTGTTGATGCCAACGGAAGATGTGTCAGCGAAAAGAGAAAATAAAAAATCTTAAAGTTGTTGAGAGAGTTTGCGTAGGGCAGTTGTGTGTTGAATTGGAGGTCCTTTGAATGATGCACAGCCTCCTCTATTTATAGCACTGGATACCTTTGAAGTCGAGTCAAAACCCTACTCGAACTAGGTCTTCTTCTCCAGATCAAACACCCACTCGACCAGTCCTATGTTTACTAGGATTGTGAGCCTAGTCCTCTATTGAGCCGGATTCACTTCCGGTTTATTACCCTTGCCGAGACTCCTTATCGCGTTAGGACTCGACTAGTAAATGTAATATGACCTAGCCGACCTAGGTTTAGGAGCCCACGTACTAAATGATCCAAGGCTCCCCTGTCGCCAGGCCTCCCGGGCCGAGAGTGGTTCTATACTCGGCCCAACATGTTAATTTGAGCCCAAACAATGATTCTTTGAAAACTAGATGAATTAGCATTGGAGGGCCTAAAGTATAGACAGTTTTTGTCATTGAACTGCATTGACGGATGTGAGCATTTTTTTTTCTACGATAAGGACATCCTTGACATAAACTCATCCTTAATGCCTTAGAAATGTTATTTTCCATGAAATTTCATTGCATTTACCTTGGCTAAAGTCGCCTAACATCAAAATTATTAACAAAACTTGTATAAGAGCATCTAAAGTTTTGAATCAACATTTTCATCTACCAAACAGAAGATATATGTGCCATACATTCAAGCAACAAATTGATTACAATGAAGCTTTTTACAAATCCATTCTACAGAAACGAATGGAAGGCAACAATTACTCGCTTTCTTCTCTTGTTTTCTACACAAATGAAAAATCTACAAAGAGGTCGAAGTCATTGTTACAAAATTCCAAGTCCGATAGACATCAAGGTAATCTAAGCAGTTAAAATGATACAATTAATCCACACTAACATTGTCAAAAAGATTACTAATGATAAACAGAGCACAGCATTCAGTCGTAGACACAATAATCTGTCAAATTTGAGTGCTTGCCTAGTGTGCTTCCTCTAAGAGTGACAGAGCATCTGATTCTCTCATAAAACTTGGACTTCACTAGTTTTCCCAAAATGTAGGCTCTTGACCTCACAACAAACGTCAGATTCAGCGGTATTACCACTCTCTGCCGATCCTCTTTAACATCTTGAATAACTGAAATTCCCCCGTAAAGAGCCACTTGGTACCCTAGCACAACCGTCCTTATTGTCCGATGCGTCTTCCTTGCTTGGTAGAAGTTTTCAACCTGTTTCATTTCATCGGAAAATGGTCTAAGATAAAAAACCAACAAAGGAAATAAAGACTTCCAAACTCTCCGTAAACTGACCGAAAAGTGCTTAAAGTTGGGTAGTGATCTTGCTATCAGTTCCGAATAAAATCTCGATCCCTAAAAGCAGTACTTCCTGTTTAACCCTTGTAAGTTCTTGATTTTTGTACTAATTCCTATGTTTTCATGTACATTACTTGCATTGCCTTCCATCTAGTTCACTGACCACCCAAAAAAATAAATAAATAATAATAAGGGTTAGATTAGAGCATCTTCAAAGTAGATGTCAAATTTTCAAAATCAACACTAACAGTAGAAACCGACAACAACAATATTTTCTAACCGAAAAGCCAAATCTGATGTTGCATAACATTGATTGATAGCCCTTACCCTTGTTGCCAAACTTGACAGCAGCTTCAAATCATTTTTTAATTGATTATTAAATGCATTTAATTAATTTAATTAGTTTTTTTAACATTTATTATAATAGTTTAATTTAACATATCGGATGGAGATCAAAATTTTAAAATATATCAAAATGCTACATAAGATCATCTCCAAAGGAGAAGTCAAATTTTGAACACAAAATTTAAATTTGACAGTTCATGTGACATTTTAACATATTTTAATGTTTCACTCTCCGGCCGAGGTGTCAATTTAAATTATTATCTTATTACATTATTTTTTTCTTAATTTCTGTTTTATATTTTAAATATTACATATATAAATAATTCATATTAAATAACAACAAAATACTAATACAAATCATCCAACAAAATACAACCCTTAATTGAAAATATTAATTAAAAACAAAATATTTGTGAACATGCCTCAAATTTTTTCAGACTCCTCCGCTTGATCAAAAGATGAGTCTGAAAAAAATTGAGGCATGTCAACCACGAGCTGCTGGCTCTGTGGTAAATGACAGACTACGAAACTTCCTTAAAACAAAAAATTAAAGGTCTCGAGTTCGAAACCCACTGCTGATGTGGAAGCCAAACTTGTGGCAAAGAGAAGGCTGAAATGCTTCTGTAAATCTTTTCGGCTCTCGAAAATGGTAGATAACTATGACTTACCATTCATTGTCCCCCTTTTTAAAACGAAAAAAAATAAAATTTGAGGCATGTCCACAAAATAAAGTAGGATACCTATTGAAGAACGAATGACTGTATTTTACAAAGTTGAAAAGAACTTGTTGATTAAAAAAGAAGAAAGAGGTAGCGTATAAAACAAACTCTACAGCAAGCTCCTTTGCTACCATTCCATGTCGGATTTAACATTTCTGTTGGAAAAAATTAGCTATTGTCCTTTTTTACTGTTATAGCTTATGTAGAAATTTTGACATTTTCTTTAAAGATGCTCTAAGCTGTCAAATTGAAATCTTATTTTTAAAATTTGACATATACTAAAAGAGACGCTCTTAGGCCATGCTGAGCTATAGAAAGACTTTAGCCACAAGATAAGAAAGGCAACGTAATCAGAAAGTTGGAATCATCACCCGACTTTTGGTGGTCTTTTAAGACTTTAACCAATTAAAAGATGAACAAATAGCCAAAAAGTGGATTCCGATTCTCCATTGAAATCCATCAAGCTTTGGAATTTAACATACTCATATGTTTGATAACAATAGCATATATTTCGAAACCAATCGAGTAGCTTTGGTCATGGTTATCCCAAATGAAGAATTCTCTACTCCAGTAAGCTTATGATGTGGACATTATATCGTTATGTGTCGCTACTCGCTACCAATAACACCAAACCCTAAATAACCCACCTCTCAAAGAATTTGCTTTACTGATTTTTCAAGCTGAACAATATAATACATGAATCTATATTAGTAACGCCATTCGAAAATATTTCACATTGGGACAATAAAATTTGGGCCACGCGTCCCAATAGAGATGTTTGTATTTAAGGTGTTGGGGGTTTTCATGCTTCCAGCAGCGCACACAGCTTTTTCGGTGACCCCAATAAACAAGACTGAGAGGACACATCAAAATTTTCAAACCTTCAACTGCTGTCCCAACTCCCAACGCCTGCCCTTTTGACCAAACCGAAACCGTATTTATAAATATTTTAATTTTTAACCGGCAACGTACAAATCCCTTTAACGTTGGAACTCACTCTTAACTATGACAAGTTAAATTGACAAAATTACCCATGGACAAAATATGAATTAAGTTAGAATCCCCTTGTTATCTATGGCAAAACGGACATCACGCACCTGCCCGGACGCAACCTTGAGCTGGTAATAGTGGAGCTCCAATGGAGTCGACGTGACGTGGACGCCGAAGAATGTCGCGGGATTCCTGTAAGAGATCCTCACCGTCGAATTCAACGACAGCATGTCCGTCGAGACCCCCGTCATGTCGCTCCCCGCCTGTATATTTAGACTCTCGAACACAATATTCTGCTCGCCCCCAGGAAAAAAGAAACAAAACCTAACGCCGTCAGACAAAATGAAACCAAATCCCCGTCAACCGAATCAACCAACCGAGTCAACTCGGTCCATTACCGTGTAAAAAACAATAAAACCTAAAAGTTACTCCGGCATGCTTTATTGTCTCCATGTCCGTGTTCACATTGTATTTATTTCTGAATTTCTAAATTTTCGATTGAATAAAAAAAAAAATTCAAGTATATATAAACATCTCAAAACGTCTCGTTTGAGACGTTTCGTTTATTTTTTACATTTTAATTGAATAAATGAAAATATATTCAAGTAACATAAATAAATAAATTAGACATCTCCCCTTGCACATTAATCATGTTTATTTCTGTTATTCTAATTGAATAAATCATCGAGGATTAAGTAACTAAAATAAACGTTAGAACAAAAAGAAAAGGAAGGTCGGAAATCATTTACCTTAACGATGACTCGAGGCTCGTAAGCCTTGCTGGCGCCCCACAAGATCAAAGAAAACACCGTGAAGAGCACAACGAAAAGCAGCGCGAAGCAGAAGTACAACCTAATATTACGCGCGGGGCCGCCGTCGTCGAATGCGGAGTCATTTTCGTCGTCTTCGGACAATTCCACTTCTTCCCCGCGCTGCAGCTTCCGCCAGGCGGACATGCTGCGGGGGTTTTTCAGGGAGGCGGAGAATCTCGACGTGGAGGACTCGCGGGAGTGGTGGATAGGGGAGCAGTGATAGTAGTGGTGCTGCGGCGACCCAACAGGACTCGAGCCGTACGACATCTTCTCGACGTCGTGGTTGGAGGGGCTCTGGACGTAGTAAATCGGACGGCGAGGCGACCGCGGCGGTGTCAACTGCTCCACGCTCATCGTCACATCCGAATCCGACTTTTGGTGCATTATCGTCTGTCGTTCGGGGACGTCAGTGTAATTTTGGTAAAGTTCGGGGGCTGAAATAAAAAGCACAGAGCTACAGAAGTCTTCACACTTCGTCTCTGATTTCTGCGGTTTCGTTCGTTGTTTGGTTCTGGAGGACAAAGGGAAGGAGTTGCACTGTGTGTTTTGTTCACGTCTGCTTATATTTGCAGGGTATCTGCCGTTGGATTTGATCGGACGGTAAGGATGAGGTGATCTTGGGGGCACGTTATTTAAGGAAATGTGCTTTGGTGGTATTGATGATTGGTGGAGGCCGAAAGGATGAGGTTTTTGGTAAGGTGACAGAAAGTGGAAATGTCCTCGTTATTTGACCCCCCGTTTTCTGTGGATTTGTTAACTTTTCCAGTTGTTACCATACATGCTAATTAATTAAGCAACTTTAAATAAAAGTTAGACCGTATTGTTTATTTCATATTTTCATATTAAAAAATTAATCATGATACTATTTATTTTACCTTTTATTTTGTCTTTATTGTTAATACTCAAAGTTTTGAATCTTTTTCATTAGTTTTCTTATTAATTAATCTCATTACCTTATAATGAATGTAATTAACCAAAGTTAATTCAACCACGTGATCACGTTGAGCTGTACTAGGATCAAGGTCTAAAAAATCGATATTATCCCGATATTTCTATCGAAATTTTCGTGTTTTTTGAGTACCGATATTTCCGATATCATCGATATTTTAGACTTTGATAGGAACTCTATGTGGTACTTAGTCACTCATGTATCTTATCATGCAATGTATGAAGTGTAAAATATTGTACTAATTCATTATATATAAATGATTATGGTGTGTTTAAACTTCTTTCATTAATCACTACATATTTTCTACACTCACAATGTTTGCCAGCTCGCTATATAATCAACTTAAATCAGTTAAATCCATCATGCAATGCATTTCCTTCTAATTTATTTGTGATAAACTAATAGATAATTGACTAAATAAACATCGTACAAAATTTCAATAAAAATTTCTAAGTTTTTCTTACAATTTCCGTGGTTTTTATTCAATTTTTATCGATATTGATAATATCCCGATATTTCCATCGAAATTTCTGTGTTTTTGGACTACCGATATTTCCGATATCATCGATATTTTATACCTTATAGGACAGACGTGGTCGTCTTTCTGCATTAAAAATCAAATTTAAATTCTTATCATTATAGTACTTTTTTTTAATCAAGAAAAATATATTAAAAGAAAAACCCTCGAGCACAACCGTTACCTACAGAATCAAACTGAAGAGCAAATGAAGGAATACAATCATCCCAAATATGACAATTAGTAATCAGAAAGCCTTGGCGAGCGAAGGCATCCACCACAAAGTTAGCCTCTCTATAAATATGTTTTCAGTCAATGCAATCAAAATTGGTCGCCGTCCACTTGATATTTTCAATAATAGGAACCAGATTTCATGGAGTCGCACCCCAGTCCAACACTGACTGAATGACCAACTTAGAATCACCTTCAACCATAATCTTTGTATAGCCCTTCCTCTGATAAAAAAGAAAGCCCTCTCTGAGAGCCTTAACCTCCACTTCAGAAATAGTGGCACCATCCAGATTTAAAGCTCCACCTCCAATAATCTGCCCATTATGATTACTTAAAACCAATCCCGCCACCGTCTTGTCCCCAACCACCGAACCGTCAAAATTTAACTTAACAAAACTCTTATCCGTCAAGATTTCCACTGATGATACTTCCACAATATGCTATGATTCCTTAACACAATATGCTATGCATCTTTAATGTTGACAGCATCAGTGGAAACTTTCAAACTATAATTCTTCGTTGATTATTCAAATTTGAAAATATGAAGAAAAAAAAAACGCAAGACAATGTGCATATATAACCATGATAGCATTTCAAATGGCCGCAACGCATTAAGGATAATAAGGAGTAACATTGATACTGATACAATTACACTTTTGAGTTTTTGAAGTTTGGATTTTCTTTTTCTCCACATTTCTACTGCTTTCAATTCTCAATGAGTTTTGGGTACACAATCTTACAAAGAAAAAGCCAATTGGCAAGAAAGAGATGTAAAGTCTGGTCATCGATCAACCTTCCCTTGATAGAATATAAGGGTCAAGAAGAGTTCAGGGACGAAGTTGGCTAGCTCATTGAATTATCGTGGTGTTGTGGGTATCACGACCTCCATCTTTATCCGTGCAAGAAAGAAACATAATTTGTTGAAGCAGGTGGGAATTTCAACAACTTAAAGAAAAGAACTGCGCTCCATCGCACAACTTCCAACTCAAGGTCCGACGCCAATATGCTGACTCTCATAGAAGTAAAGAGCAGTACTTTTCACCATTAGAAAACTAGTGGGTGCATTCCAGCAAGTTGTATTCCTCTCTTAGAGACTAGTAAAACCTTAATACCAATCAAATCCATCGTAGCAAAAACAAATCGTTAACTTTCAATATGGACTTCGACTTTGACAGTGGAATACTTGAGGTTTCTATAAGGCCTAACTACATTTTGGTACAAAATTAAAACTTAAGAGCTAGTTTGTTAACCAAATAGTTTTATGTTTCTAATTTTTACTTATAATCCTATAGATTGATGAAAAATATGTGGTCTGATGACCAATGAAGAAAGGTGAAGGATAGATGGTGAAAGCAGTGTGAATCGATGTTCTAAAAAACGGTTTATACAGCTGGCTAACACCACGATTAAATACTAATCAGTTAGAAAATAAGGTATTGCGCCTATGTGTGCCTAGGCGGAATAGGTAGTTGTCTTGTTTTTTTAATTGACTATGATTCTTGACTCACTCTCTCCCAAACAAAAAAAGAAAAAAGAAAACCAAGAATGCGATGTGTTCGTGTCCCTAATACTTTTATAATTTATTTATATTTATATTTTGCATTTTATGTTTCCCCATTACAAGTATAGTTTTTATTTGTTGATTTCTTTTATGAATAAATATGCATTTATTTATATGTCGTATAATAAATTTAATAATTAACATAAGAAAATTAAAAAAAAACCCTAGGCCACCTGTTAGGACCCTACCGGATGCTCGATAGCGGCGTAGCAATGTTTAAACATAGGTGTGAGAGGAATATGTCTAGAAATGAAACACAAAATGTCTTGATTATGCTCCCTTGGCTGATTTCCGTGTCGCCTTTTTTATTCTTCCTTTGAATGGCGTAAAGCCCAAGTTCGAATGTTAGGGCCCACAACTCTTAGGTTGCATAAATGTTTCAGGGCCGGATGGTGCATTTGACTTCCGGGTCAGTGGTCCATGTCTCCACGCCTGTAGGCCACCTATCGTAACCACACTTAATAGGGCACGAGCCTCCCAAGCTGCTAATTGAACAAGGCAAAATAGGGTAAAAGAGGCTCCTCTAACACTATCAATGGGAACTTTTAGATTCTTCTAACATCATATATATTGACAAGTAAATATGGATGTAGAAGAATTTGTTAATAAAAAATTAAAAAAAAAAAACGAAATGGCTTAAATTAATCCTTGCGATGTAATGAAAGAAATCCATTTGATAAGCATGTATCACTTTTGGTTATGTTGGAGTTTCAAGAAAGGAACAGGATAGGCGGTTAGCATCCAATGCGTTATTAGAGCCAACAACTCTTAGGTTGCATAAATTTTTCGGGGCCGGATGGTGCATTTGACCTTTGGGTCAATGGTCCATGTCTCAACGCCCGTAGGCCACCTATCGTAACCACACTTAATAGGGCTTGAGCCTCCCAAGCTGCTAATTGAACAAGACGAAATAGGCTAAAGGAGACTCCTCTAATACTATTACTGTGAATTTTTTATATTCTTCTAACATGATATACATTGATAAGTAAATATGGATGTAGATGAATTTGTAAAAAGTAAAAAAAAAAAACCAATCGAAATGGCTTAAATTAATCCTTGCGATGTAATGAAAGAAATACTTTTGATAAGCATGCATCACTTTTGGTTTCGTTGGAGTTTCTAGAAAGGAATAGGTTAGGGTTTGCATCCAATTCGTTATTAGTTAGCACGTAACAGAAAAAACCAAAAACAAAGGGAACAAAAAACTAAACACGTCAAAGGAAGTGGGTTTCATTACCTTTTGCACCCCTATATTTAGACTCGTACCTCCTTGTTAAGTTGTTTAATTATAAATATGATCTCCATTCATCCATTACTTAAATAAATAAATAAACAGTTTGTAATCACTTTAGCATCAATTTAAGAAACACACACCTTGAGCAATGGACTCCTCAATCGGATATGCAACTTTCATTGCATCCTTACTCCTATGTCTCTCATCGTCTCCGATGCCATTTGCAAATGCAACAACGTCATCATTAATTAGTAGTGTTTGCAAGCAAACCCAAGACCGATTCGGCTACAACTACAATCAATGCATAAAATCTCTTTTGAAAGATATTCCAACTCGATCAGCATCTAATCTCAAAGATCTTGACACAGCTATTGTTAAATTAGCACTAAAAAATGCACAACAAAGCAAAGCTTTCTTTGTCAATGCGCTCAACAGCACCGGCAAAGGTATTGTTAAGGGGTTCGAAGGAGTCAAACAATGTGTAGATTCATATGATTTTGCGGTAGACGGTTTCGCTTTCTCAGTGCGAGGGATCAAGGATAATGACAAATCGGTCTCCCAAATACTCACACAAGTACAAGATGAAATTTTTCGTTGTGAAAAAGCATTGGGCTCTGCCGAAATTGAACTTCCTGATTCAGTATCTTCGACAAACTTTTTGACCATGTTATGTAGAGACGTTGCATTTGTTATTACTTCTCAGTTATGAAATATCTAGAAAAGATACGTAAACAATGTATTAAATTGAATATGTATTACTTACATGCTAAATAATATACATATGATTACTATATATTTAATTTGTAAAAGAAAAGAAAAGAACAAAAAATCAATGTGTGAAAACAAAACGCTGTTTTAATATTTCTGTGTTGCTGTTTTGGCTGTCCATATTACGCATGCACCCAGATATACTACACATGGAAATCTTAAGAACACAATATGCTATGCATCTATAATGTTGACAGCATCAGTGGAAACTTTCAAACTATATTTCTTTGTTGATTATTCGAATTTGAAAATATGAAGAAAAAAACGCAAGACAATGTGCTATAATAACCATGACAGCATTTTAAACGACCGCAACGCATTGAGGCCAACAAGGAGTCACATTGATACTGATACAGTTACACTTTTGAGTTTTGAGGTTTGAATTTTCTTTTTCTCCACTTTTCGACTGCTTTCAG